AACTAGACTACATTGTAATACCCCAAATTTTGCCCTAAGATTTAGTCGGATCATCTCGCATTCCATTTCATTTTTAATTTCATTTAACTAACCGCTAACAGGTTGTGTAGTCGGTTGATTCTGCAGAAAAATAATCACGTGGCGCGCTCTTTGGTTCACAAGGGGCAAAACAATCATTTGTTCGCAGCCGGCCATCAAATTGAATATCGAGCTGTAATCAGGAATTTTGAGTTGTATGATATGGTTGGGAGGTTTTAATCGGAAATGGTGTCGGAAGCGGATCAATCGGATAAATTAGGAGAATTTTGAGTTAATAAAAAAATATAGAAATTTTGTTGGTGGTTTATATTTGTAAGTCAACAATGATAAAAACGAGTTTATTTCATTTTTTTAGTTCCTATTCCATTCTATTTTTAAATCGTATTCATTTCATTTTCTAATTCTTCCTTTCAATTCATTTATAATTAAATGTTATTTCTTTTCTTAAAAATAATAAAATTTTCATTTCATTTTAAAATATATATATTCTATTTAATTTTTTGATATGATTTCTATTTTTAGTTTGTCTTCATTTTTAATACTTTATTTCCTTTTTTAAACTTTATTTTCTTTCTATTTTTTCAAGTCAAATTATTTCTTTTTAAATTTATTTTCATTTCTTTTTATAATAATATTATTTGAATCATTTTGGGATAATTTTATTATATAAAAGTTAAAGCTTTACAAAAGAAATAACATGACAAAATAAGAATTTTATTTGCGATGAAAATTACAAAAAACTTAATAAATTACAAAATATCAAAAATATAAAAATTCTAAAGTCCTAATTGGTCTTCCGATTTGTCCGTCTTTCGATTTGTCCGATTATTCTTTCTGAACCTGCAAAACGAACTAACAATTGTATCGAGCCAATATTTTCCGACACCCTCAAAGTAGTATCATCATCGGGTGTCGGCCGATGGCCCGATCAGGCAGCTTTTGTTCTTATATTTTTCTGAGGCACCGAGAAAGAGAAGAGAAAAATTGCTTTTGAAATAAGCGGTTTGTCTAAAAGAACTTATTCGAAAAGCCGGTTTGAGAAAAGTGATTGTTCCCGAAAGACGGTTTGCCCAAAAATTGGACCTTAACGCCAATCTTCCGAAAAAACCAATTCCAACAAATCCAGCAGGTCAAACAAGCAACACGGTTTAGAAACAGTTGCAACCGACCCAACAAGGCCGAATCGGTTCCAAAAACTAGTTCAAACAAGCTAGACGGAAAACCAGTTCATCAGATATGTTCGAACAAGTTCAAACCGGTAAACCAGTTCAACGAAACCGGTTCATCCAACAAGTCAAGACCAGTTCATCAAAATTGGTTCATCAAACAAGCTGACAAACTCGTCCGAGAGTTCCGCAACAAGAAAATCGGTTCAATGCAACGTTTCCGCAACAAACAGAATTACCGTCAACAAAGCAACAACATTTCCAACGGATCCAAACGGCAAGTTTCAAGCCGAAAACGAGTCAAAGATTCATCTTCAGGCATCCGTAACAAATCAACAAAACAGACTCAGTTCAAACGACCACCAAAAGCGCCGAAAAAACCTGCAATATCATCGAATAAAATCGCAACATCTTAGCAACAGGGACAACGAAAAGCCCACCATGAATTCGAAAATGATATAAATATTAAAGAGGGATCCGAAGAAACCCTAAGATTCAGAAAACCCCAACGCCGGCGCACTTGAGAAAGGTTCAGAAAGCTATAAGCTTTCATCATCACCCTTTTGAAAGAAGAAGAGGAGGATCCATTGTTTCAAAACCGCGATCTCGGAACTCAAGCATCACCCACGAACCGGTTCAGCGGTGGCGGAACCTACAAAGGGTTCAAACACCGGTCGAGCTTCGCCGACGGGAGAATCCAAGGTAGCCTCAGGTCTTCCATCATCGGCCGGATCTCAAGCATCAAAATCGCAACCAACACCAATGGACGAACTTCATCGCCATTAAAACATCACCGATCGGAACTTGAGGGTAAGGGACCATTGTTTTCTTTCGATTCATTTTTTGTAACAGGTACAGAAAGAGGAAGAGAATGATGGTTACGGAGAAGGATCGACGACATGCAAGTCAGAGAGAGGATGAGAAGCTTGAGCTTTGAGCATCCATGGCGGCGGTCTGGTAAGAAGAGAAAGGAGATGAGGCATGCAAGTATGGGAGAAGATGGAGAGGAAATAATAAAGACGTTCACGTTTTGTGGTTCTTTTGTTTTTATCATTTTATTTTTCTTTTTTATTTTTATTTTTCTATTTTTATTAGTTTATTTTATTATTGTTATTGTATGATTTATTTCGGAACCTACGTTATTGTTTGGCAAAATATCTTTCTTGGTCCCTTAACTATACCTCGGAGTTCATTTTGGTCCCTTAACTTTAAAAAGTTTCATATTGGTCCCTTAACTCTTCAAACGTTCCATATTAGTCCTTTTTGACCTATTATCAACAGAAAAAAATCAAAAAACCGTCGCTAAATTCGTCGCTAATAGGTCAAAAAGGACTAATATGGAACATTTGAAGAGTTAAGGGACCAATATGGAACTTTTTAAAGTTAAGGGACCAAAATGAACCCCGAGGTATAGTTAAGGGACCAAGAAGGATATTTTGCCTTATTGTTTTTAGAGTATAATAATTGTTAATTTAATCTAAGTTAAAACACTTAATCAGGCCATTAAATTTAAACATTTTCTTCTTAATTAGAACATTATCTCATTTAAAACATTTTCTACAAAAAAAAATTAAAACACAAAATTTAAAAAGAACATTTTTCTAATTTAAAACATGAAATTTAAAAAAATTTCTTTTCCTTAAAATAAAAATTAAAAATTCTATTCTTTCATAAAAAAATTAAACTCTTTTTTTTTTTATAAAAATATTAAAAGAAACTTTTTAAAATATATATATATATATATATATATATATTTTAATACCTTTGCATAAAAGCTCAAAAAAAATTTCTAAATTAAAAACTATTTCTTTTCAAAATAAAAAAAAACAATAAAAAAATTAAACTTAATGTAATTTAAATTCCTCATTAACACGTTTATTAAAGCTTAATGCAAATCAAAAGTTTTATTAAAATTTTAATATAAATTAAAATTTTTAGTAAAACTTAATGTCAATCAAAATTTTATTAAAATGAAATGTAAATCAATTTTTTTTATTATTCAAATTTAATGTAAATCAAAGCTTTATTAAAAAAAAATTTAAAATTAAAACTTAAAAAAAAAACATTTTTTCAAATTTAGACTACCTTTTTAAAATTTAAAGTAACTTCTAAAATTAAAACCAAGTCTTTAATAAACAACATTAAAAAATATTTACCAATCTACCCCACTTTCTACGTGAGCTCGTCCGTTGAAATGGCGAACTCGTTAAGGAAATATTTTGGGCTTACATGCTCGTCCTTACAATGGACGAACTTGTGAAGCGTGAATTTTGGCCTATATGAGCTCATCCTTAGGATGGACGAGCGTGTTGTTTTTATTTTTTTTTAATATTTTTTTTGTCAGTTTTATTTATTTATTTTACTAAATATACATTTTAATACATTAATTAATATATTATATAGTTAATAATAAAATAACAATTATAATTTTAATTATTAAATTGTTAATTTTATTCTTATTAAAAAGTTAATGTTAATTATTAAAATGTTAATTAATATAATTTTTAGTATAAATAATATTAATAATAAAATAATGTTAATAAATTAAATTAAATATTAATTAATAAATATAAAAATGTAAATAATTTTAACATTGCAAGATTAAGCTACAACAATAAAATTGATTAAAACAAAAATACATTTCATCGAATATGACTCCAGTTTCACACCTAGGGATCCTTCGCTGTCTATGTCCCCTGCCCAAGCGCTCATTCATAGGTGATTGAGATAAGTCAGGAGACATGTCTTCATTGTGATGTGTTGTAGGGGGGTTTGTCTGCCGTGAAAAGGGCCCTGGTTGCTCATCGAGAAGATCATCAATGTTAAAATCTGGCATGTGCATTAGTTGCTCGTCTGTCAGTATGCACATGTCGGATTTTAACATTGATGATCTTCTCGATGAGCAACCAGGACCCTCTTCACGGCAGGCAAACCCCCCTACAACACATCACAATGAAGACATGTCTTCCGACTCATCTCAATCACATATAAATGAGCGCTTGGGCAGGGGACATAGATAGCGAAGGATCCTTAGGTGTGAAACTGGAGTCATATTCGATGAAATGTATTTTTGTTTTAATCAATTTTATTGTTGTAGCTTAATCTTGCAATGTTAAAATTATTTACATTTTTATATTTATTAATTAATATTTAATTTGATTTATTAACATTATTTTATTATTAATATTATTTATACCAAAAATTATATTAATTAACATTTTAATAATTAACATTAACTTTTTAATAAGAATAAAATTAACAATTTAATAATTAAAATTATAATTGTTATTTTATTATTAATTATATAATATATTAATTAATGTATTAAAATATATATTTAGTAAAATAAATAAATAAAACTGATAAAAAAAATTTTAAAAAAAATAAAAACAACGCGCTCGTCCATCCTAAGGACGAGCTCATATGGAACAAAATTCACGTTTCATAAATTCGTCCATTGTAAGGACGAGCATGTAAGCCCAAAATATTTTCTTAACGAGTTCGCCATTTCAATAGACGAGCTCATATAAAAAGTGGGGTAAATTGATAAATATTTTTTAAAACAGGGTATTATGGTATATTTTAGATCAAATAGAGGTACAGCAGTGAAAAATCCTGTTGGCAAAGCAATCATGATAATAACAAATGATGAAGATATGATATAATAAGATCATATAATGTGATGTGATGTCACGTCACGGGCTAAGAGACAGAAAGTGATAGAAATAAAGAAAGCTCCAAACAGAACAACAAATCCGATGTGAAGCCGTTCAGTTCAAAGTTGAAAGAGCTGTGATGGAGAAGAAGCTGAAGGTGTATGCAGATCGTATGTCCCAACCATCTCGAGCAGTTCTTACATTCTGCAGGTAATTAACTCAACAAACTCATCAATCATTACTATATTTTATTCATGATTTTATCACCATCGATCATCAAACATTTATGATATCTAGAATGGACTTTGAAAAGGTTGAACGGAATCGAGTTTGAGGAGATCAAAATTGACACTTCCAAACGCCACCAACTATCTCCTGAATATACAGGTATACAATACAATACAAGTTGCAACTTAATTGTGCTATTCATCTTGTTAATTATTTCATTTCAGATGTAAACCCTCTGCAGAAAGTTCCAGCTATTGTTCATGGAAACTTCAATCTCTCCGAGAGGTATAACTAACTAGCTACTTTGTTTTTTTAACACAATCTCATCTCATTTACTTTCATTTTGAGGTCAATTTTGAACTTGTTAATTAATCATGTTTTGTTTTGGCAGTCATGCAATTCTTGTCTATCTTGCTTCTGTTTTTCCTGGAATAGCTGACCATTGGTTAGTCCAAACACTTCTTTTGCAATTTCTGGAATCTCTAACTGCTTGCAATCTGAAATAGATCTTAGTTTCAATGCATTATGGATAGAACTGTTTTAACGGCTTTTTTTTTTATGTTCTAGGTATCCAACTGATGTTTTCAGGAGAGCCAAAATTCAGTCAGTATTGGATTGGCATCACTCTAATTTACGATATGGCGCAGGTACTTTACAAATCAGTATCAGTATCTGGAAATTATGCAAGAATCCTTATATTCATATTCTATCTATGGATTTATATGAATAAAACATTTTTCCCCGAATACTGGAGAAAAAACTTTGACTAACTGCTGGCAGTGGCAAAATCAACTTTTGCAGATCATTATGTAATAAACACTGTATTAGGACCTGCACTTGGCCATCCACTGAATCCAAAAGCAGCTTCTGAAGCAGAGAAAGTTTTATTATCTTCTTTATCAAATCTAGAGAAAATCTGGCTAAATGGAGACGGACGATTCCTTGTTGGTGGCTTTCAACCGTCTATAGCAGATCTCAGTCTGGTTTGTGAACTCATACAACTTGAGGTAACTGAATATGACTCTGTAATTGTTGATTTAACCAACTTATTACCTCAATGTCTTGAAATCTCTGGTTGATACAGAATGATGATTAGTACTATGATTGATTTTTCATGAATTTGTGTTTTTTTTAATTCAAATGTAAATAAACATAGGTTTTGGACGAGAAAGATCGCGATCGAATATTATCCCCATACAAGAAAGTTGTTAAGTGGATTGAGGATACAAAAGCCGCAACAAATCCTCACTTTGAAGAAGTGCATAACATCCTTTTTAGAGTTAAAAAGAAACTCCAAAAACAGCAATCAATGGATGCTGAAGCTGGGACTGAGACTAGTAACAAGATGGGGAGGCATTCCAAGATTTGAAATCAATTATTTCATGTTTTTTTTTTCACAAGCCTGCATATTTGTAGCCTAAGTAGATTTTGTGAGTGAATAAGTAGAAGTCGGCGTAGAAATGCGATTGTACTTGGCAACTTATATGGCCATTTTGTAACTTGTGGCTGTACTTTGGAGGTGTATTATAAGAAATTGAAATTGAAATAAAAAAGAACTACCTTCTTCTACTTGGACAAACGCCAAACCAGACTACATTGAAAGTACTAACCATATGTGGATTAGCCATAACAGAAAGATTTGGGTACCTTAAAAGGCACATATCTAGCCTTACAATTAAAAAGTGACAATTGCCACGAATGAGGCATCATTGTTAACACCGATAATTGAGTATAGATAATCTCTTGGGACATTCGATAGCATTTCTCATTCTGATTATGTGAAATCAAATTTATTCCTTTGAAATACAATCTTTGTAACAACAATGAAGAATCATCTTCTCAGCTTTTTTTATTGTATATATGTTTTCAAGCTCTACTTTTGATTGGTCTCGGTTATAAACATTCATATCCGCATTTTGATTGGTCTTGATCATAAACATTCATATCCACATTTAGAACTGGGATAAGGTTCGAAGTGTTTGTAGCAGGGTCTGGTCTGCTCAGTGTTCAATGCAGTTTGAATAGTTAGGAATAACATTAGATTTGAGGAGAAGTTCATTCAAGTTTTCTCTTCCATCAATTATATTTTAACTGCTTGTTCATTGTCCGGAAACAATGCACATGTAGCATCACATATTAGTAGTATGCAAGACTTTGTTGTTTTAAAAATTTTCAATTATTAGAGAATTAGGTTTATTGGGCCTGAGCTATGTTGGGTTGGGCTTGCTTTTTTAGGGTTTAGGTCTTTCTGTTTATATGAGGGTGGTTTCATTGCCTCTAGTGAGAGGCGGGAATTCCACTCATTTAAAATTGCATTCTTCTTTTTTTTTTCATCAATGGAAATAACACAGAAATATATACAATTGTAATATGGTTGTTGCGGTGAGAATCATGATGTCAAACTATTGAATTAACTTGAATCTTAATTTTTAAATTCACAACCGAACTTTAATTTATCCAAAAAGAAAAGGTTTAAAAAAAGAAAAACCTATAAAAATGCAAAGCAAAAAGCAAGGCCTAAAGTTAAGCAAAGAAAGATCTAAAGGTTCGGGGGTTGGTTATGCCTAGGGTAGGTATTTCACATCCTAAACATCTGTAGTATTCTACAGGAACCTCTTGTTAATATTTGTGTTTGCTAAAGTTTGCTTGCTAAAGGAAATGTGCTTAGGTAAAGATCTAAAGTATATACAAAGTATGCTCGCCAAGAAATCGCATCTCGTGCCTACGTATCCTGGCGGGGATGGAATCAGAGCAACCGTAGTTCTCCTTTTCAGGGGTGAGGAACTCTTGACTGTGGTCAAGGTTTCAGGGGATGTAAGCATTCATATGGAAGTACTTACATGGAGTGCGGCGACTCCTGAATCTACGCTGAGATTGTTATGATAAAGGATGTCCACGGCGGGACGCTAAACATGAGTACGGTGACTCAAATCCTAAGGTTAGGATAAAGGGTAAAGGATGTCCACGGCAGGACGCTAAATGTGAGTACGGCGACTCAAATCCTAAGGTTAGGATAAAGGGTAAAAGGTAAAGGATATCATACATAAACCAACAATGTCACAACGACGTAAACAAAATGGTTCAAAATCTCATGGGGATAGTCAACAGTTTTTAAAGGTGAGCCACTTAAACGCGTACAAGCAAAGGTGAATTTCAATACTTAAATGCACAAGGAAGCCAATAATCCAAGTTTATGTTCTCTTCAAATAAGAACGCAAAGAGGAGAAAAAGTCAAAGTTTTTGAAATGAAGAAATGAGAGAAGGTGAAAATTTTAAAATGAATTACAACTTTCTTTAATGTAAAGTGTTTCTAAAAATGGAATTTTAGAATTCTTTAAACATTTGATGAAAGTATGCAATAAAATAAGATTTATGCAAAAAGAATCACCTAAGAAAGATTAAAAATGAAGAAGTTATGTAAAATTGAATATTAAATAAAATTAAAATAAAATAAAATAAACTAGTGCTAAAAAATAAGAAATGCCTCACCCAAGGCTTGGGGTCATAGGCTCAAAACATGACCATCCCAACGATTAAAAGCATGTGAAACTATATGGAAAAAGAAGAACAAATATTAAAACTCATGGAAAATCATAAAATGAACAAAAATTGCCCTCGTTGAGGGCGGGTTCAAGGCATTACAAAGTACTTATGGGTAAGGTAATAACCACTGAGGTGACAATACATCCATTGTATCAAGCCACCCCATTTGGATATGTACCAAAACAAGGCGCACAGGCTGGGCAACTCTTGGGCAAACTCAAGGTAAAACTTCAAAAAACGATTTCGTCATAACTCTTTCAAATCTTGATCAATTTTGATGAAATTTTAGTCTAACTCACTTATTTTTTCACAAGGAACATGATGGTACTATCCAGATTTTCAAATGATGTACACAGTGAAAAACACGAATGCTTATGTAAGGAGAGAAATTGAAATGCATTTTGAGTTTAAATGATCAAAACAGATGCTCTTGGAGATATGTAAAGGTCTGAGCATGCTTCAAATATAGTATGGGATGAGTTTCAACAGAAGTTTGGTTTAGAAAAGTAATAGAGCAGAAAGTTGGTATGTGAGTTGTAATTGTACATTTTGAAAAGCATTTTGCAGTGGTAAGATCAAAACAGATGCATTCTCATACAAGTAAAGGACTGAGCAAGTTTTAAACATGATGTTGGATGAGTTCAACAGAAAAGCTTAACCAAAAAGACCTCAGACCATCATAAAGGCATGTAAAAAATGCAAGTTGTGAAATTGGTGTTAATTTGAAATTTGTATTTCAATGTTAAACAATGATCCATGATAGTAACTGCTATCATACCAACTACCATAAGTTACAAACCTTACACACACAACTTGCAACAATCTTGGAAAAAGAGAATTGAAGTGCAAACAGAGGTTAACAAGCCTTAGGTAATGGTACCATACCAACTCATCAGTACACTTACCAATGTTTTTAATAGTAGCAAAACATGTACAGAAACCTTACAACTAAGTTATCCTAAACCTAGACACAAGACATGAGATGATCATATACCAATTCTGATAAGAACCTAAGCTGATAAACCTCTCACCAAAATTGTGGACAACAAATAGAGTTAGAAAGCCAACAATCAAACCTTTAAACATGCAGACCAGATTTGTTAAATTGGCTTAAATCACAACTACAATGCCAAGCCAATAGTAAACATATTAAGACAGTTTTGAATAAAACAAGAAATTGGCATCACAATGCAAACATACATGCAACAATGAATATGTACAGGTTAAGTAACTTCAACTCACATATAGTTGCTGACAGTAAACAAATACAAATTGATCCTTAGCACTTATATGAATCATCTCAATATTAGACATAATCATGCCAATCAACAAACAACAGCCTCAATACATGACTCTAAAGACAGTCATTTAACTAATTCAAGCATGAGGAACCAATTCTGGCAACAACAAGGTATTCATGTTCCCAATCATAATACATCAAGCCAGTGTCTTAGATAAGACCAAATCAAACATACACAGCTCCAGTAGCAAATTTAATACAACTTGGTTAGAAGTTTTCCAACATAACAAGTATGATCCAAGAAGTTTGTTTGAAAACAGAAGCATCCACATAACTTGTAATTTTAACAAGACAATAATCAAGCCAATGCCTTAAAATTAAAGTTAACAAACCCCAAAACTCCAAGAACTCAGAACAGGCCTATGACAGTTCCAAGACCCCCTTGTCAGTCACCAAATTAGTTAACCCTTGAAGCATCTTAATCATGAGTTGACAGGCCTAACACAACTTCTAACAGCAAATCCTAAATCAAAATCTCAAAGACAACTCATAATGCAAATCCTAGATAGCATTTTCTTGAACAAACCATGATGAGCAGATCTGATAGCACAAAAACAAAACTAACAAACATCAGTGCTCTCAACATCAGTCAAGTAGCCTTGCTTGAAACAGAAGCAATGACCAAACATTGGCACAACAGACAAGAGTTGACCAACTCTCTTTAGGAATAGCCATAGGCAATGAAGTTGAGCAATGCCAAAATCAACACAATAATGAAATCCTAACTAAGATAGTAATGACACCAAATCAAATCTAAATAGAACCAAGAAAATGACATGATAATGCCAAGTCTAAAAAAAAAGAAGCAAACTAAAATGAAAAGTTAACCATTCTAAGCATCAACATGCTTGACAAATCTAACTATAACTCAAACTCTAACATCAACCTCTTCAACTTCTCTAATGGCAGTAACCTAAACAAACCACCTAAATCTCATCAAGCACAAAGTTGAAATCCACAAATGAAAATGACAAGTTGAGCAGTGCAAAGTCAAACAAATCAATTACCAAGACTTTATAATAGTTATGATTTCATAATGATAAGTATCAACATACCAATGTTGATCATCAAATGCTTCAACAACATCCATATGCACTTTACAAAAATAGCAACAAATCCACATTGTCCTAATGACAGTCACCAACAGATCCTAACATGAGAACCAAACTCTAGCAGCCATAGTCATGAGCTGACAAAACTCTAAAACCAGAATTGACAACTTGAACAACATAATGCCACACAGCCAAATGCTAAGTCTTCAAACTCAAAGTGACAACCACCAATATAACAATGCTCAAGAAACAACCAAATAGCCTAAACCTCCCCATACTGATTGTTGACAAATTTCTTAAGTTCAAAACAGTCTTGGTGCTAATGAATCTAAACTGGATAGGTCAAAGTCCATCCTAAAGCAAATAACACAAACTTGGTATTACAATGCCAAGCCTAAGTGAAACCAACACAAAGAGTTACCAACTCTAAGTTTTCAACAGATCCAAATCTAACACACTCTGAAAATAGACCTA